GTATTAAGAAGCTGCGATCCGATCGTGGTGGAGAATACTTGAGCATCGAGTTCATTGACTATCTAAAAGAGAATGGGATACAATCCCAATGGACTCCTCCGGGAACTCCTCAACTTAATGGAGTCTCCGAACGTCGGAATCGAACTTTATTAGATATGGTTCAATCAATGATGGGGTTCACGAACTTACCGGCATACTTGTGGGGTCATGCACTTCGCACTGCCGCGTATTTGCTGAATAGAGTTAACACCAAAGCAGTTAAATCCACACCGTATGAACTATGGCATTCCCGGAAACCCAACTACAAACATATTAGGATATGGGGTTGTCCCGCTTATGTGAAGCGGTTAGTGGGAGATAAGTTGGATAGTAAATCCGACTTGTGCTATTTTGTGGGGTATCCCGAAGACTCAATGGGATACGAGTTTTATTATGTCAAAGAAGCAAAGACATTTGTTTCAAAAAATGCCACCTTTTTGGAAAGGGAGTTTCTATCCGATAGAAAGGGCAGCATGATAGAACTTGAAGTAGTTCAAGAACCACAAGGTAAAGTTCAAACGCAAGAACAAGCAATCGAACCAATACAACAAACCACTAATATACCTTCTGAACCTACGGTACGTAGATCCGAAAGAGTTCGGAAAATGCCGGATAGGTTATTCCTCCTCGAAAATGATGAAGATCATGTTGATCTTGGACGAGATCCAAGAACATACAATGAGGCCGTATCGGATGCGGACATGGGACATTGGCTAACTGCCATGAAATCCGAAATGGACTCCATGTACTCCAACAAGGTATGGACCTTGGTAGATCCACCTAAGGGAATTGTTCCTATAGGCTGCAAGTGGATCTATAAGAAGAAAATTGGAGTGGATGGAAAGGTATCGACCTATAAAGCTAGATTGGTAGTGAAAGGTTACACTCAAAGGCAAGGCGTTGACTATGAGGAAACTTTTTCGCCAGTCGCGATGCTGAAGTCCATCAGGATTTTGCTGGCCATAGCTGCGTGGTACGACTACGAGATATGGCAAATGGATGTGAAGACCGCCTTCCTTAATGGAGATATTGAGGAAGAAATTTACATGGCGCAGCCGGAAGGCTTCATATCTTCTGGAAGTGAGCAAAAGGTTTGCAAGCTCCAGCGATACATTTATGGATTGAAACAAGCATCCCGAAGTTGGAACATTAGGTTCGACTCAACCATCAAAGAGTTTGATTTTGAGAAGAATCCGGAGGAACCTTATGTATACAAGAAGGTTAGTGGGAGGGCAGTGATATTTTTAGTGCTTTACGTTGACGACATTCTACTCATTGGGAATGATGTAGGAATGTTGCAGCAAACGAAAGCATGGTTGTCCACACGTTTCTCAATGAAGGATTTGGGAGAAGCATCTTATGTATTAGGAATACACATCTATAGAGATAGAGCGAGAAAGATGCTTGGCTTATCCCCAAGCCTGTACATAGACACCGTTATGAAACAGTTTAGCATGGAAGAATCCAAGAAGGGATTCTTGCCAATGTCCCATGGGGTTCGTCTCTCGAAATCTATGTGTCCGCAAACACCTAGTGAAATCGAGGAGATGAAAAGGACACCCTATGCTTCTGCCATAGGAAGCATAATGTATGGCATGCTATGTACGAGACCCGATATTGCGTATGCTCTGAGTGTCACAAGCAGATATCAGTCTAACCCCGGCCCGGCTCACTGGAAAGCTGTGAAAGATATCCTCAAGTACTTACGAAGGACTAAGGATATATTTTTGGTCTATGGGGGTGCCGAGTTGAAATTAGAGGGTTTTACCGACTCTAGTTTTCAATCGGATGTGGACGACTCAAAGTCGAATTCTGGATTTATATTCACGCTTAATGGTGGTGCCGTGTGTTGGAAGAGTTCCAAGCAAAGCACGACGGCCGATTCCACTACCGAAGCGGAATACATTGCAGCATCCGAAGCTGCAAAGGAAGGGACTTTGATAAGGAAGTTCATCCAAGAGTTGAGTGTCATTCCTGATGCTAGTGATCCAGTACCGTTGAACTGTGATAACACCGGAGCCGTGGCACAAGCTAAGGAGCCACGATCTCATCAGAAGTCGAAGCATATTCTGAGGAAGTATCACGTGATCCGAGAGATCATTGATAGAGGTGAAGTTAAGGTAGAACGAGTCACCTCGGAAGAGAACGTTGCAGACCCCTTCACGAAGCCTTTACCGAGATCGGTCCATGAGAAACATCGAGAGTCGATGGGATTGCGGTTTATGGGTAGTTGGCTTTAGGTCAAGTGGGAGATTGTTAGAGTAGGTGACCAACAAGCCAACATGTGGCTGTGGTCTTTCGTATTTATTATTGTAATAAACGAACCTTTATTCGTATTAATGATAAAACACCTTGGCATTCTATATATTTGTCCCTCTGTCACAAGCATAGATATAGTCCTTACAGTTATTACAAGTACTAGTAATTGATCGTTAGGATCGTGAGATATTTACTTAAGTATTATAACTGTTAAACGTGTTCCTAGTCGAAGGGTTACGCCACTAATGAGGATATCGGCCTTTCCCATTAAGACTAGCACTTAGTGTATGTGTACTGCATCTCATCAGTAAACGGTATTGTGATATCGGCATGCATAAGTGGGTGCTCGTAAGTTGACGAGTTCACTGAACTCCCTCACCCTAGAAATCTCTAAGTGGTTCCCAATAATCGAGTAGAGATATCTATGGTATAGTTGTACACCATTAGTCCTTATGACCTAGACATCACCGTGACTTCACTAGAGGACCAGCTGTATCGTGACCTGTCCCTGAGTTCCACCGAGGACCATCCCAAGGGCCAGTGTTCGTGCAGTCCGAAATCTAGTGGGAGGTCTGTGCATTGTAGTCGGGGATTCGATCGCTAGAATAGTCTTGGATGTCCTGTGTGTTCTGAAAGTTTGTAATCATTCTAAGTCTCTGGCCAGAGCTGACTAAGTGATGATTAGAGAATTCGATTCTCTAAGTCATGCACGTGACGATTGCAACACTTGGAACGATCGCACCGTCATCGAACATATAAAGAGGTCTCGATGAACCAATGCCTCTAGTTCGATCGGGACATATGCATCGAAGGGACCGTACTGTACGTTAACTATATCTGAAGGTTCTTGCAGGCACTTCATTTGTATCTAGGGAATCATGACGCGTAGTTGCTAGACGCCAATCTTGATTCGTTGGGTGATTAAGGTGAAACAAGCTTCATCTTAATCGTAACTCTAAGGGATGAGTTTTGACTACAAAGGGTTGTGGGCCCACGGCTAGCTTACACTTGAACCATCGAGGGTCACACTGCTCGTGCACATGAGATCTTTGAATAAACGGTCAGAGATAAAATAGTTTATCTTTGCATAATTGGAAGTCAATACGATTGAGTCCAACATTCGTAATTTGGAATTACGAATGAGAATAAGAAAAGGAAAAGAATAGGCGAACGTTGTAGTGGACTTTCTAAATCGGGAAGTTTCCAAATTTAGAAAGTGCACTGAACTAGGGTTTCCACTTTTAGAAAGTTGGAAAATGAGAATTGACACTCGTAATGACGAGGACTTTATAATGATTCCGAAAATGTAATCGTTACAATTTTTCGGTCATTGGATTGAGAGAAACGAGCAAATAAAAGTACTAGCGAACTTAAGCTGTTGGGCCCGGTCCAACTTAAGCCCGCTAGGGTTTTATGCAAGACACTATAAATACAAGATTTATAGGTCTTGCACACACAAGTGAAAACCCTAACCCTAGCAGCCGTTACCTCTCTCTCTCTCGCCCTCTCTCCCGCGGCCGTCACCGGCGCCGTCGTCGGAACTTCACCGGAATCGGCCGCTCATCGGCCGATCGCTTCGGTAGCTTCTTTCCTTCTCTTTTTCTTCCGTTTTTCTAACTATTACGTGTCTAGTGCCACGTGTTTAGTAGATCGAAGTATACGAGGTGAAATCCGAGAGGAGGAAGATCGAAGATCGAAGAATCGAGGAGCAGCGCACGAGCCGAAGCCGCACGCTACCCCACGCGCCGCCCCGGAAGACCGCGCGTGAGATTCACGCGCCGCCGTGGCCGTCTCGCCGCTGCTGCCGCTGCACCGCTGCTGCCCCGGATTGTACGGATTGGTTTCCGTAGCAATCTCGACATGCTTAGCGCTCCTACCTCACGCTTCAAGAGGTAAACACACGAACTCAATGTTCTTGATTCGTTTACGTTTAAACACTATATATTCATGTTTGCTTTCGTATGATTTTATGTGATTATGTGTAATCGTTTTAATCACTGCAAGCATGTTATTTGGTTTAAACGCGAGCATGTTAATTGATTTAAATTCGGTTAAATAAATTAGCATGTATGTTGTTATTTAATTTCGCTGGAAGCGCAAAGGTACGCAATTAATTGATTTATATTATCGGGCATGTGCTTATGTGATTTAAAACTTGTTTAATTCGCATAAAATTTTTGTTTTCCGCTGCGTACGCGTGCCAGAAACCCAACAATCTGGACCTTGACAACATGGTGCTTAATGCTCCATAATGTTTTTTCCACACATGTATCTTCGAATGGATGTGGGGGGAGGCCTTAAGATCGGTTCCGGGAAATTTTTGAACCATATATTGTTCAAGGGTACCTAAATAACCGGTTTTAAAGCCATTTTCGCACTTCCAACCTCTTGACACAATATCTTTCAAACCTAAAATTAACGTTTGCTCTTCGAGGACTGTCCAACAGCGCCTGCTGTTGGAGGCACATTTTTTGCTTGAACTGCATTTTTTCGGAGCACCAGTACTTTCTATATTACCTGAATTAAATGCAAATTAAACCAGCCATTGTAACTACATAAATAATGTTCACATCACAGTACGTACAAATGGGAACAATAAAGCATTACAAATGCAAGACACATTAGTATCCATGTTGCAGTCGTAAATACAAACAACGAAATACATTTAAAGTACGGAATTTATTGATTTTTTTTAATTTGTACTATCGAGACGATAACCACTGATTGTACATGTTAATCGCAATTGTATCTCGCCAGGTCGTCCACTCCTCCGAAGTCTCAACAGTATTAATATAATCCTCGCCGTTAATAATGCCTGGATTATTCCTCAAAAAATCGTCTAAAGTTTCCTCTTCTGGATCAAAGTCGTTGGTCGTGCGTATAAAATTATGTAGGAGACAACACGCCATTACGGTCCTATTTTGAACCTTGATGGGATAATATGCTGGACTACGTAATATGGCCCATCGTGACTTCAAAAGCCCAAAAGCCCGCTCGATGATGTTTCTTGCCTTGGCATGTTTCATGTTAAAAAATTCTCTAAAATTTCTAGGTGCGGTTGGACCGTTTGCATATGCATCGAGGTGGTATCTACAACCTCTGTACGGTGCCAAAAAACCTTCCCCGTTCGTATAACCGTTGACAACCAAGTAGTAGTTACCTGTAAAGGTGAATGATTTACTAAAGTTGGAATCAACTACAGTGCGGATCCTACATACTGGCACTATGTTAATTATTTGACTTTATTTGGTACTCTATCAACTAATACTTACCCATGGGGACTCGAAGACCATTGTCTCGGGTTACTGCATCACGAAGTATTCTACTATCGGCTGCAGACCCTTCCCAACCCGTAAGTAGGTATATAAAATTCATGTTATCATCGCAAACAGCTAGAACATTGATCGACACATTACCCTTGCGATTACTGTATCTTGGTTTATCAAGATAAGGAACCCGACACCCTATGTACGTCCCATCTAGTGCACCGAGACATCCCTAATAAATAATCACCGTAATAACGTAGTTATTTAAACAAATAACAGTTGTGTAAGACAACATTGACATAACATTTTTTATTATGTTACCTTGAAATGTGAAAAGCGCTCATTTGCACAAAGTTCGTCGACGGGTTTTGGTGTTATCAGTAGCATTTCGTGTAACTTAAGTAAGGCCAGTAGAACGCGGTTAAAGTGTTTGCTTACCGTGTACCCAAATCTGTTAAAATGACTCGGAACAACAACATTTTTTTGTGTGATGGGCTAAAATTTGAAGAAACATTGCGACTTGCTCTGGTATAGACACATTTCTATTTGCTTTAAGACCGCCCACATTTTCTAAAATGTAACACAGCCGGTAAAAGGACTGTATGTTCATTCTAAGATTATCACGACATGTTACATCGTTCAACCCAACTAACGAACGCAAATAGTCAAGGTGTGAAGGTGTTCGTCCTATTAAACTGTAAGTTTGGGTGTTATTCTGAGAGCAAGACAACTGACGACGATTTTTTTTACTAAATATGTGAACGGACATCAAGAAAAACAGCCGAAGATTAAACATGAGTTGATGTAACACAACAACATCTTCTTCCTTTTTTGAAAAATCCATCGCAGTCCCACAATTTCCTACATTGACAGCAATACCTCATATTATTCGTGTATTCAGTAGATACATATTGTGTGCACAATCTCCGGTTTATTTAGCAACTTATGGAGTAAGAACATAACTAATAGTCGTTCAGTGATGACCTATGTTAGTAGGTGCATAATTTCTATTATACATTTATAAACATCTTAAATAACCTACATTAACCAGCTTTTGTTGAACAAGTAAAAAACATTTGTAGTCTACGGGTGGCATATATTCAGCCTATGTGAAATCAAACCTGGTTTTTTGTATTAATAGCGAAGCAAATACCTGTAGGTAATGGCAGTTAACTAAAGCGGTAATGATTGCGTTGGTGGCTTAAATCTGTTGTGATCCTCAATGCCGAATAAGAAACGTTACTGACAAGGTTGAAAAATAAAGAGTTAACATATATATATATATATATATATATATATATATATATATAGCTTAAATAACAACAAAGAAACAATTGGGTATTCTAAGGCTCTGTTGGTGAGGAGTTCTTGCAATAAACAAAGCCCTAAATTTCTCATTTCAAACTCGACGGAATTAAACAAAGATTTAAAATTCAAAGACAAAGAGGAACCTGCCACAATGACGGACACCGGAAAGTGTCAAAACTTCGAACGGAGGTTTCTCGCCGGACCCGTCTTCTTCTTCGATTCTATCTGCCAAAGTACAAACTATTTGTGGGCATTTTAAGAAGTTATTGAACGGATTAAACACTAAAACAAACAACAAATCTAAAAATTGAAAAAGACGGTGTAAGATCTAATTTCTCACCTGGGAGGATTTCTCACCTAGGAGGCTAGGGCTGCATCTGCGAGGGGAAACAGCTGATTTTGTGAGTTTATATATCGATTTTTTTCGTAATTTAAGAAATAATGAGGGACATTTTCGTCAATTCACATCGGGCAAGAAGCGGGATTGTATAAATGATATACTATCAAGTCAAAATTGGGTGGATAATTAATAATTCAATTGGTTGATTAAAATGGTGGGGCCATTAGTCAAGGACGGCAAATCAACCGAACCAAACATTATACCCAGGAGTACAATTCATCCCATCCCTGCTAATAATGCAAACCAAAGATGCCCTAAGGGAATTTGATTTGGTTGAGAGCTTTTGTTTTGAGGGGTTGATTTGAATTAATTAAGAGTTTTTTTGTCACAATTAGGGGTGAAAGTCGGATTGATCGGATTGGAATTAGTCTTATCGAAAAATATCCAAAAAAATTCGGAATTACAAAATCCGTTCCAATCAAAAAAGTTCGGAATCTAAAAATTCATTCCAATTCCACAAGGCCCGGAAATTTCGGAATTTCGGAAAAAAATTCAGAAATCAAACAAGTTTTAAAATTTCAAAACTTAGCGGAAATTTTTCAAAAAATTCATAATTTTCTGAAAGTATGAACATCCACATTGATAAAAGTAAAATTAATAAGTACTAAATTTCAGTTTAAGAAAATAAATAAAAATAAACCACATCATAATATTCAATAAAACATCCAACAACAATCCAATATGTCAAAATCCTAAAACAAAACTTAAATAATATTACTATTTCATAAAACAAAAACAAAATTAAAATAAGTATTATATAATCTATATTATTTACTGGTGTATTTTTCGGAAGAAAATCGTAATTTTTCGGAAATTAAATCGGATTTGAAATCGGAAATTCCATATTATTTATATACAATTCCAATTCCAATCCAAAAAATCGCAAAAAATCGAAAATCGGATATTTGGAAGTCAAAATGAAAAATATTGTTCCAAAATCGGAACTTTTCGGATCAGAACCGATGAAAATTGGAACTTCCGTTCCAACTTGCACCCCTAGTCACAATAGAAACAATTGACTTAATGAAAATAGAGACTTGTAACTTGAATTTACTGACATAAAATCTAATATAGAGGGACCTATAGTACATTTCCACCTCTCAACGCACGCACCCCGACCAAAGAATTTGGGCATAAAATACGTACTTTTTAATAATGTAGTATGTACAATAATCTTCGTAATATTCTGGAGAATGCTTAGTTAATTAAACTACCGGTCTTTTTAGATGGATTACTAGCGAAAGGAAAATGGTGGCGTGTGATAAAATTTTAATGGTGAAGATTTTTGTAAAATTCTTCTAAAATTTAAAGCTGCCATGTTAACGTGCACATTCTCTATCAGCAAGCATGGTATTTTTCATCTTGGGGAAAAAAAGGAAAAGAAAGAAAAAGGTCCGACAAGTTTCTTATTTACAAGAAGCTGCATAAATTCCAAAAGTAAATCGAGAGCATATTCTACCCAAAACAGTTAAAAATAAATAAATAAAGAAGAAGAAGAAAAAAAAAAAAAACATTAAAAGGACAAGAGCCAAACACACTAATTGAAACTCAACTACCTTTTTTTCTCGTAAAATCCAACTTCCTACTCCGTAAAACTGCAGTTATTGTTGCACATTTGATTGTAATATAACATTTGAAGGTATTAAAAAAGAAATATTGATCTCAAATATTCATTTCAAGTTAGAAGCTACTAGTACTACTAATACTACTATAAAACTAAGGGAAGATGCCAACGAGTATATCTGGAATGCAGAACGGTGATAGAAATGATGATTTGGCGACATCTACTTTCGAGCATCTCAGCTTTTCTATTAGGTCTAACTCTACTCCACTTGAGTAGTTCTTGGATCCAATGTAGATAGGATTTGGGGCATTGACATTCCACCAGACACAACGATTTCTGCATACATCATCAATCAAACGTTTAAAACATTAGACCATATCAGCAAATAAGGTCTTTCATGCAATAAAAAATATATTGCGCTTCCCCACACATACGCAAATAAGGTCTTCCATGCCTAACTAAGAGATCTCATCCATGTAACACGTAGTACCAGTGCCAAATTGTTACATCTAACCCAAGGGGTAAAAGGACAAACCAAAAGACATTTATCATGCAATCTTTTCTAAAACATAAAACTATAAATGGTATAAAATTAACTAAAACACGGGGGAAAATAATATGTGTGTGACATACAGAAGGTAACCGGTGGAAATAATAACTAACAAGTACACCGGATTTCAACTTCTGAGGAAAATGAAATGGTTCAATGTATACATGTTAGGTAGTAACTGAACATGTATTGGATGGGTTTCCTGTCTCATTTTCTGTGTTATAACCTAGTTCATGAATATATGGATATGGATAAGCCAGGTAGAAAAAAAGATTTTCATCCATCCCATTGCTCATGGAGCATGTACTCACCAGCTCCCTAAACTAGGAGGAGGATGGTTCACAGCATGTACAAGGACAGTGGTTGAAGGAAGACCTTTTGGTTAGTGATATCGAGAGAGAAAAAATAAGTAGGAACTAGATTGTTAATATGTGTGGAATGGGCCAAAAACGTGAGTTCTAGCCAAACCCGTATTAACAATAAAATTCGTACTTTTTCCTCTCTTGATACCAAATGCTTTTATTCTGCCAAAAGTCAAATAAACCCAAAAAAAGACTACTGAAATCCATTAGAACACCAAAGAAGTGGCAAAGCCATCTTACCGATTCCTTCTCGCACAGACAAATTTGGTCTAATAACGTCTTTAGCATTGACGAGGAATACATCACCAATGTAAAGATGATTTGTAGGGACGTACACACAGCATAGATCTTCCTCTCCTGAATAACTCTGGAATGAGAAAAGAAAAAAAAAATGAAAAACAGAAGATATATAAACAGATAGTTCAGTCTTTTTATTATAAGTTCACAAATGAAATGTTAGACGCTCATCCTTATATCATCTTAACGAATTACAAAATTTTAATCCTCTTTTACACGCCGATATGCTAGTGAGAGTCACTTCCAGATATAGCACGGAAGTTGCAGCTCTAACTCTGAACAGTTGGAATTGAAGCAATAAACAAATAAATTTAATTAGTCGAAAATAGTTCAAAAGCAGTGCATTCACCAAAACTATTCTCACTCTTTGCAGTCTTTCATTGCAAACTGTAATATGGACACCGAGCAAGAGATACACATCAAATCAGACAAGATCATTTGCCAATACAAACAAGGAGTACAAGATAACTGCCAGATATGCAGTGTTTCTGGAAAGTGAGCAAGAGATACATACACATCAAACAATCAAGATAATCTGCTGTATGAATTCTACTGCAGTACAACTCTAAAAGATAACTATTTCAGGCACACATGTATTGATGTTCAAGTCTGGAAAACCTTCCAGCAGTTATTTGCAGCATCGTTCTCTCTCCAAGTCAATTTATGAAGTATAACGCATTTCAAAATCATGCAACATTAAACTACAGATTTATAGACAAGAACGATGAAGTCCACAAAAGAACAAAAATCCATAACAGACAAATATGAGCAAATGAAAAGACAATCAAAGATGAAAAATGATCAACTAAAAACATCAAGAGAAGGCAGACCTGGAGGGCCACGGATGAAGTGATGAACCCAAATGCATATTCACCGATACGTGGGTGCCTTATAATAGCAACTTCCTTGAAAGCTTGTGAATTCTGGTCTGCAATAGTAATGGGAATATAACTGATTATCCATCCCTAACAAAAAATCTCTTAAAGAGAAAACAACTAGTGGAAAAGAAAGCACACCTGGAGATATGGCAGCACTAATTTGCTTAGAGGCATTATAAATATGACGAACAAATGGCATACGCTTAATAAACCACTCCCCAAGGCCCAGAACAGAAGCCCCCAACCACGATGACATAAACACTCCAACCAAGAATATAAAAGTAATGGAGGTCACAAATCCTAAACCTATTTCAAGAAACTAAGCAGCATTAGAGCAAAAGTATGTACCACAATTTAATATATAATATCAAAATCAACAGTCAAAGATGCTTCTAAGAAATTTACCATTACAAGATAATTGGAAAAAGTAACAGAAACTCACTACATTTCCAAAATAAGTTATTCTAATGATCTTTTTTTTGAAAGATAAGTTACTGGTTTCGACATGGATAGTGATTATGTAATGAGTACATGATGCTATAAGACAGACATGCAACTAATGATGCACGGTTATTTTAGGTCAGCGAGTGCAGAACGACATGCTTACCAAATATATTAATTCCGAGATGAGAATAAATGGGGGAGAAAAATCCATCCACAAAATGAATGAACCACCATGTAATATAGAAAGTAATAGCTATCGGCAAGAGAATGACGCTGCAAAAAGGCAGAGTTAGAAACAGCTATATTAAGCAGGGGGGAAAGAAAAACAATAAGTTCAGGCTCAAAGGTGGCTTAAACATGAAGTTACAAGCTTCAAATTAAACACCCACATATTTCATAGAGTTTGCAGTGATATAAACAGAAAGCAAGAATTTTCTCATTGATGTGCAACATCTCAAATGTTAGAATAACACGTTACTTATTGAACTACGAAATCGCTTACAACCTCATTTCATCCATTAGAATTTCGACAAACTTTCACATTACTTGTATTTTAAATGTGTATTCTCAATCACACTCCCATTCTAAGATTCAAATAATTATACAAGAGTTATATGTTTTCTTTCTCAATCAATGACAAAAATACATAAACAAGTACACACAAATACACACTCCCACATGTATACATATATGATTTCAATATCCTCAATATATTAAAGGTTTAGTTTTGCTAATAGTTTGCAATTGAATATCGGTTAATATTTTCACTTGTCCGTTTAATTGATCATTCTATCTGGAAGTTAAAGAAAATGGAAAAAAGAGAAACTATTAACAATGATGAATAAGCAAAATCAAGGAGCGTAACAACACCTTCAGTTCAAATTGAGTGTGTAGCTAAAGAAATCAGCCAAGAGATCCTAGTCAACTAGGTAAATATTATCGGTGTGCAGTTAGTTATAGTATTCTTTTGGCAAAACTGTTTTATTAAGGCCAAATTGGCAAGTGCAGAAGGTTTTCACTCAAATGAAAGGAGATTGTAGGAGGTCCTAATGAAGGAGGACAACCTTAAGGTTCTACTTATTTCGCTATTTTGTAGAAGTGGAGTGATAACCGCTCAAGGAATATGATAAAAGGCTCTCTACGGCATCTTACATCAAGCTCAAGAGGGTCCCGACTATAATAATCACACGCATCTTTACCAATAAGCATAAATGGAGAGCATCAAATGCCTGACAACAACTCTATTCCTTGCAGGATTTTATGTTATAGTTAGAGAACGAAATTAAGAAACAGACCACTCAAACCTTTTTCCCAAAACAATTATAAGGTTTTCCTTAAACCTGCCTATTTTTTGCAATGTACCATAATCCTTCGACTACTAAAAGAAAATAAGGAATGCGTAGATTGGATTAGATAATATATTTTTTTTTGCCTGTAATCAATCTCATGTTGCCTTTTTTGGATTTGGTTTTTCTTGGGATTTGCATTATCCACATCAGTTTCACCCTGATCATTCGCTGAGCATGACAACGAAAGTAACTCAAAACATAAGAATCAAACTGTTGGACAACTCCATTCATTTGCCCCCATCCCTGCTTTCTACTAATAAATAAAAGAGAATTATGAATTGGGAGTTCAAAGTTCTCTTATACGAGTACCTAACCCTTTTTCTTTCTACTAAACACTCATCAAAAGGTTAGATGTGAAATAGTAGTACACATATAATAGTCAAATTAAAATTTAAAAAAAGAATCTTCTAAACGCATGTTTTTACATCTTATGCTAGGATTTTAAACAGCATAAAGATGTTTTACTCACCAGCCAGTCATGAACTTCTTCGAAGCCCAGCTCCTAACAACTTTGTAGAATGTCTGCAGGTTACCAAGATGAACAAATATATCAGAAATCTGACAGAGACGAACACAATCGTTCAAAAAGCAGTACAAAGTCGGGTCCTATATTAATTATGCAACACTTTGTTCACATTAATTAGATGATGCGCACCCAGTATAAGCAAACTTTATAAATATATATACTTAACATCCAGGCATCCTTACTGTGTGTAATCAGCTCAGGAGGCACAAAAAATTGCAGGAAAAACATTAGAATGTGCACTAATTGAAGTCAGGAGATTAAGTATCGAGGAAAGAAACAAAAAGAACGACAATCTATAATACTCCTTTCTCATTTCAAAATAAGCATTCGATGTGATAAACATCGTATTAGAATGAGTTCCTATTACAGACGATAAACAGAATCACCATTTACCATTCGACAATTTAGAGGTGTCGTGCCCATTTTCTTGTACATTAAATAGTTCATCACATAACACAAACATATCAGTGCCCTGCCTCTAATGTAAAGCAATCTTCATATTACAATAAACTAATAAAGCCCTTTGAAAAGAAAAATTAGTGTTGACTGAGCAAGGCAGCCTTTAATAAAGCCCTCTCGTGCAAGGCAATCTTCCTATTAAGTGTATTAAATTTACCTATGAAATTAGGCTAAACAAAATTAATACCTATTTCCAGAAAAAGCTGATCTAAATTTGATAGAAGAAAAAAAAGTAGTGTAATAACTTGCATTTCTAAAACCCTAATAGGAAACATTCTGAAGACGATGATAAGCATACATCAAACAATAAAATGGTTATACCTCTCGGCCCGAATGATTGTGGTGAGCGGAGGAACCAGAGGCGGAGGGTTTTGAGGAGGAGGAGGAGGAGGCGGCGGCGGAGGCGGCATCGCGGCGGTGATCAACAGAATCGGTAACGGGTATAAGTAGTTCGCGATCTCTTTCTCTGGTGATGTTCCCCATTACGATGAGAGATTTATCATCTCCCATCACACACACACACAGTGTAAGCACACACACACTGACTCAGTGAATGAATATAACTTTGTTGAAGTAGCAACCAGTCTTAACAGATTCAGAGAGTTCACCCTTCAGACGTCTCTCTCCCTCGCTCTACAATTTCATTTCACCACTAAAAATGTTACAATTTCAATTCAATTTAATAAAGTGCTTTTAACTTCTTTTCTTACTAATAAAACAATATTAGTAATTAATTACTAATAATAAATGAGAAGAATTATGAAGAGCAATTTGTTTTTCGTTAATATCAATACAAGTTGTGACGTAAAATTCAACGTGATAGCCATAGGATGGAGTATTATTAGTATTAGTTGGGTATTTTCAATTTTGGTATATTGGGCCATTCATAAGGTTGTCTTCTGTGAGCTGTCGCCAACCAAAACATACCACCTCTTACCAATTTGCAAACATCCAAACTAAACACATTTTCTGGGGTAATTTTTTTTTTTTACTCTTTCATGTACCTTTTCAACAAATTTTCGAAAACGGTAGTATTTGTACATGTTTTTTTGTAAAAGTAAAAATGTTGGTAATTTTAAAACTCCGATCTCATCCCATCTAGCCATGTGTTTTGATTCTAAGCAATAGGATGTTAAAATCAGGGTGGCTTTACGGAGTTCACGGGCATCGCCCCTCGATTTTTTTTCTTCTGATTAATTTACATAAAGTAGCACAAAATAACTACAAATTTATAGAATTTAACTAATATAACATTAATTCAATTCTTTGAAGTTACAACTCTAAATATAGTCATAAAAGTAATTATAAAATTACAAATGGCCCTTTCGTGTTTCCATCTTTCGTGTTTCCATTTTCTGAAAACTCTCCATGATTGTTTCGTTATCAATTTCTGTAGAGACTTCTCTCTCAATAAAGACAAGCAAAATGTCACTTAACCATTCATCATTCATCCAATTGCGCAATCTATTCTTTATGATATTCATAGCTGAAAATGCCTTCTCAACAGTAGCGGTAGCAACTGGCAATGTCAATGCCAATGTCAAAAGCATGTAAACCAAATGATACACCTTATTTCTCCTAGTGTTTACCATTATGCGAGCAAGATCACTTATGCCATTTAATCAAAAAAAAAATCCTTGCTTAGGAGCATATCAACTATATAATTATCCAATTGATCACCGAGCTTACATTTGTCAAACTCGGTAAATTCTTCTGGATAAAAATCAACAAGACAAAGTAGTTTTTCCTTGTTATAATGGGAGAATGAGTTCGATGGATCAAGGCAAGAAACACATATAAGCAGTTCCATAATCGAATCAGAAAATCGAGCATTTAATTCTCCAAGTTGCATATCCAAGACAGTGTAAAATGTCTCAATCTTATAACGATGTAGGTTCGTCATTCCTTCTTCATTCCGTCATCTTCGCCGTCGAGCAACATATTTAGCATTCATTTGATGAATATTAACTCCATGTTTCTTACAAAAAATTGTAACACCATCAAGTAAAGAACTCCACCCACTTTCTCTCAAAGACTGAATTTGATTATTTGACACTTGTACTAATGTCATTGCATTCACAATGTCTTGATCTTTTCTTTGAAGTGCTTGAGACAGCTCATTTGTGATTGCCAATATTTTTTTTTTATCAAAAAGAGGCTCAACAAAAAATCAAATGACAAAAGTCTATCTACAATATCTTGTCCTTCGGTACGATGACTTGTACTTGAAGCATCACGACCAATAAGTTCAAGTACATCAATCACCGCACAAAACATATTTATAAGTTCGACAAAGTGTTGTAGTGAGAGCTCCAACGTGTATCACCTGGACATTTAATTATAAATGAAACATATTTATAATTTAATTCTAAACCTACGTACTTATATTTATACTAATTAAATAGAGACCTAATGACCTTGGAAAACAATGAAAAGATAAATACTAACTAAAAATAAAAGAAACCCTATCAACTAAACAATACGTAAGGAAAAAGAAACTCAAATAAGTTGTAATTCTAATCTAACTATCCTACTCCATAATATTGGGTCGTATCATTCCCTTCCCTTTCAAAACGAATCTTGTCCTCAAGGTTTAGTTTTGAAGAATTTTTCGCGGGAATTTTGCCTCTCGTTCTTCCTTGAATGTGGTATTCCCGACCCCAGTCATTAAACTTTATCGTTCTCATACGGTAATCAATCCACATCGGTCCAAGACTCTCGAGCCAAGGCATACCTAGCACCACGTCCAACCCGTTTATTGGTAAAGCAAATAGATTGGTCTTGAACTCGTATCCTTGCAATGTTATTACATTCAATTCATATTTATCTTGACACTCTATTTTTTCCCCGTTCGCCACTCTAACTGAGAATGGTTTAGTTGGAGTAGCGTGCATCTGTAGTTGACCAGCCACTGTCAATTAATACCTCAATCGGTTCATTCTTAAGCATGCCCGTCAAACGCTTCGTCGACACTCCATCCTCGCCTTATAACGCATTAAGGGAAATATGGGGCTCTTCCTCAATTTTTTCGTCGCCTTCGACTCCCAACCTGTCAATTTCAATCAACAACGCTTGCGGCCGTTTACATTGGTGGCCTCGGACGAACTTCTCATCACAATTATAGCAAAAAAAATTCTCACGTCGTTATAGCAACTCATCCCAAGTCAGTCGTCGAGTCCCAGAGCTAACCGATTCTCGTCCTGCTGCCATCGTTGTGACCGGGATCGACCCGCCTCCCGATTTCTTTCCAACTTGCAGTTGTTCGTCTTTTCGTTTGGCTAGCTCGATGGCTGTTTGTAAATCCTTGGGTCTGAATAGCCGTACATCGCCTGCTATTTCCTCTTGAAGACCTGCCATAAATGCACCCATGAGCACCTCTTCCGACCAATACGGTAGACAATTCATTAAACGCTCAAAATCCCCCAAGTATTCCCGAAAGCCTCCTTTCTGCCTCAGCCGGCACATTGATTCGTTTGGGTCTTCGTAGTCTCCGTGGCCAAAGCGCAATAGAATACCCTTCTCGAATTGCCCCCACAGGATCCGATGACCCCAACTCGCTCGGTCCTACGAACATCGATTCGCGCGCGGCCTCCCTCCACTCACTTAATCTCACGCAACTTCCACTGCGCACCACATAGTCAGGCGGTAATTTCAACGCGCTCTACCAAATCGCGCAAGGATTCTTAACGCGCCCCACCCAATAGCGCTCAATCTCAGCATAGAAAATAAAAATTATTATTCCTCCACGCCACGCCAACGACTAACGGAACACAACAACACAGATCTACTCTCGACACGATCCGATACCCTTTTCGACTTGACTCCCACATCGACTCGAGAGTGGGGGGATTGCGAGACAACTCCCACGAGGAGACAACTCGCTCGGTACTACAACCCGCAGCGGAACAACTCCCACGAGGAGTCAACTCGCTTGGAACTACGAACCCGTTGCGAGACAACTCCCACAAGGAGCAAACTCGCTCGGTCCTACAAACACGTTGCAAGAAAACTCCCACGAGGAGCCACCTCTCGGTAATAAGACTCGATGCAAGACAACTCCGACGAGGAGACAACTCGCTCAGAGCGACCTGAATCCGCACACGCCCCAGTCGCGCGTCATCCAACGCTCCTACAACTTCGCTGCCAGACAACTCCCACGAGGAGACAACTCGCCCGCAATTCACTACATAATAGCAAGCTCAAGTTAGCACGATTACAACCCTAGAAACCTTAGAGATATTATGAGAATCTATATAGACTGGCCAACTTGATTACTCAAATTTATCTACTTATTATCGATGGGTCCTTCATTAAAACGTGGCCATGGTCCAAACATACTTACGACCCACGAGGTCTAACAAGGGCACGATCTCCATACCAAAAAATCTTGAGAGCCTGATCCCTCCCTCAAGTACATCACGCACAAGGCTATATGTAAACACATACAAGCAATGCGCCAAAACATTGACAATGTCAATAAATAACAACTCCCACGAGGAGAATACTCGCTCCGTGCTACTACATTATCGTGAGACAACTCCCACTAGGAGATAACTCGATCAACTCTATTACCCCGCGACGAGACAACTCCCACGAGGAGATAACTCGATCCGCGCTACTACATCGTCGCTGGACAACATCGACGACTCAAGTAACTTACATCGCGACAACTTGGTCGCCTTACGCGCCAACGCGCCTTCACGCCCCTCCGACACACGCTCCAACGCGTTTTCGCACACCATTAAGCCGTACGCCAACGAGCGGCTTCTACAATTTTTACTCTCGACACGATCTGGCACACATTTCAACATGCCCCCACATCGACTCGAGAGTGAAGGGCTTAATGATATGCATAATTGGGCCAACCCAATGGGCCAACAACTCCTTTACCTACTGGGCCACGAACCCTATATTGAAGACCACTACCACCGAGGCCCAATCTCCTTCAAGTATTGATAAGTGTTCATTTTGCATGATTTTCACTTATCAATTCTTCAAGTTTTGGTCTTCGTTCGTACGAGTTTTCGGCTTTATTTGTTTATATTATGCGTTTCTTGTTTTATTTATATTTTCAGGTTTTGTTAGCTATTTTTGCCGATTCGAAACGATTTTGGAAGCGAAGCCGAGAATCAAACCAAACAAGTGCAAAGTTGCATTTTAGCGGGCAATGGCAGCGTTCGGTATTTCATGCATAACTCTCTCATATGACCTCCGATTGAGCTGATTCAAGTGGAGTTAGAAAGCCAAGTGCAAGGGCTACAACTTTTGTGAAATGCATTTTTGTCGAATTCGGCCTGAAAAATGGTCAACACGGAGTTTAAAGTTCAGACAGTCACCATATCGCGATATTGCCATCCTGTATCGCGATATGGGGAGAAATGAAACAGAGAGCTTGCATTTTTGCCATATCGCGCGATATGCCATCCTGTATCGCGATATGGGGAGAAACGAAACAGAGAGCTTACAATTTTACCATATCGCCCGATACTGATGCCCATATCGCGATATGGCCTCGGGATGTGTAAAAAAATATCTAAAAAGGCAAAGCTTCCTCAAGAAGCTTTGACTTACTATAAATAGAAGCAAGCCTCATTCTTCGACTTGATCTTGGATACTCTTCGACTTTTTCTTCGGGTTTCTCTTCGGTTCTCGCCAGTTCTTCGCGGGAAGCTTCGACGAG